GGGTTTACCTGTGTATCATCTGTGTATCTTTTCCTTGCTGGAAAATTGAATCCTTGCTGAGTTCAGAGCTGGTTTTTACAAGGGCTTGTAAAAATGCATTTGTAGTGCCACATAACGGGTTGCAGTAAGTCTTCTTGTGTGGCCATATTGAACATTTTAGAAGATAACAGCAAAAGGAAGGTGTCTCTGAGTCTCTCTGAAGACCTGCGTGAATGCAGTCTCCTCTCATGGGTGTGTTTATAGCCAAAATTAAATTTCTTGGCCAGTGCTCCATAGTGATCTTTTGACAGACCTCAGGTGACCTCTTATAAAAGTGATGAACTGCCAAAAAGTACACAGTGGCTCTGTGCAATGCAAAGGAGATGGGCAGCAGAGGTGCTTTCCACCTGAATTTGGTGGAAGGAGGGAATGCATGATGTTATTTGCAGTGCAAGAGTATCTGTAGAGAAGCAATTGCACTCTGAGCTGATGTGTAGGGATACCATTACTATGTTACACTGCCCTTCACTGTTAGGAAGTCATGGTTGTCTCTACTGGAATCGTGGCTACAGGATCACAGAGAGGTTACCTGCAGATGCCAAATTGCTGGAATTAAATACCACTGTAACAGTTGCAGGAATCTCTAAGCCTTGGAACACAAAGCTAAAGCAGTGAGCTGACACTTCAGGCAAAGCATGAAGGGACAGACTGACTCGTGCAATCACTGCTCTTGTGTTTATCAGGTTTGAGAACACTTATTCCAGCCAAGCTGGTGGACTGGGCATAATATGCCCATAATGATCAGTGAGATGCTTTAGGACTCATTCTTCCTCCAGACATCTCAGTATTCCTTGTTTAACAAGGAAGCATCAGATCAGGTGTTTGACCAAAGGAGTAAACAAGTATTCTTTGGTCCAGCAAATTATGTGTGTGTTCTTTAGCACCAAATGTGCCCCTGCTGCAACAAACCAGCTCATTTAAGTAGCTTCTTTTAAAGGAGGCAGTCACATTTTCTTCAGTGTAGTAACAAAGAATAAACATGAGAAACATGTCTGGAAGTTTCAATGTGTGACTCTTCGGGTAATCCCAAACTTTCCATATGGGTATCTGTCCTACTTTTTTGATTGCATCTATCTTTGATTCCCTTTCCATACAATATATATTGAATTCTACAAGAAGTTTGTCAATCTCCTTTGCTTTATGAATAGTCTGGGAGAAGTGCCTTTGGTTGATGTTACCTTTAACTTCTAATCCTTTGTACTGTCCAAGTCATTAAATGAACTCTGAAACTCCTTTACAGAGCAAATGTGCTTTTTCTGTCACTAGTAACACCTCATTATTCTGTAGGATTATGAGTTACCCAATGCATGGAGGCTTTTTGTATATAGTGTTTGGCTTTAATTAAAACAAATAAACACAACAACAGAACTATTAGGGAAACCTCAATTCCTAGTGCCCTGTTTATAAATGTATTATTGCATGATGTTAAGATTGCCTTAATATGTTTCCAGCATGTTAGGATTTCGTTTCAGTCTACAGTGACTGCTAGATTGTTTCCCATCCCTTCAGTATTTTTTATTACTGCGTTACTAATGCAGCTTTTAGCCCAAATCTGTCCTTTAATGCAGCTCTGCATATGAAAATAGAAATAAGACTGGAAGGGATGATATGATTTGGGCTTGCCCTGGGGTAGCTGGTCAAGAACCACGTGTAAGCACTTCAGAAGTGAGCAATTCAAAATTCAGGTCACATCCCTGCCTGAACTCTTTGAGCCTGAGACTCATGCTTGGTTCTTTTCCTTGTCTTGGTTTAGAAGAGGACATCTATCACTGATCAGGCCAAGAGTTTACCTACCTCGAGAGCCTCTCTCTGACAGTTATTAATAAAAGATGAGTGTGAAATACATGTAAATGAGTCTTCCAATAACTGGTGTTTTGGAAAATGTAGTTTATCTGAGCCTAGTTTTCCAACTCTTATACAATTCTTGGAATTGCATTGCCAGAACCAGTACATCAATATCTCGATAGGGAATTTTGAGTCAAGGGATAGGGAATTTTGAGCTAAGGAAGATAGAAGCAAATTAAGTATTTATATTCCCTGAGTACAGCTTCTCTGTCTGTTTTAGCTGCTTCTTTGTGTGTTTTCTAGCTGAAGCCTACCCAGAAGAAGTGGCACAGTGTGGTATTTCTGCTTAAAAGCATAGGAAATCAAATGCTGTCATGCACTTCTGCATGTTACAAAGCAACAAAAAAAGGAATTTCCAATTCTTATGATACAAAGTGAAGGAGGAAAACAGAGGGTTGGTGCCCTCAATCTGAGTAACACATTTCAGGCACAGCCTTGTAGAGTGATGTTATGTAAGGAGGCTGCTCTGATGTCATGCTGGAGGCTGCCTTGTCTCAGCACATGTTGTCTCTGAAGACTTATTCCATCTTCCTCTTCCCTCCTTCAGCCTTGCTACTGCACATCTGCCTTGCTGGAATTGAATAAACCAGTTTAACCCTCCTGCTCTTGCCTGCCCAAGTCACCTGGTGCATGGTGGGTTTTGTCTGGTGTGTTGTTCCCCTGGTTCCGACCTGAGGTCGTCATTTCAGACTGCTCTTTCTGGAGCAATATCTGTATGTGTGTAGATCTTCCCCTGGGCTCTGAAGTGAACTCAAGCTGTACTGGGCATGTTGTTTGTGCCACACATGCTCTGTGGTTGTATTTTATTTGCAGAAGCAGTTTGTGGCCCCTGCAAGAGGGCAGGCAGGACTCTGTACTCTGCCTTCTCCTCGGCTCCCAGCCAGCTCCTCGTGGAATTTACTAATCCATGCTCTTAGTTTCTATGATTTGAAAGGCTTAGCTGGAAGCAGAAGAAGGAAGGAAGGAGTTTTTCCAAGAGACTGTAAAGAAAAAGGAAGTGAAGAAGAATAGGAAATGACATGGATACAATGGGGTGACGCTGCATCAGTTGTAGGTTTTTTTAATAAAGCTTTTTGGCTGAAACTACTGATGGGAATCAAGTGTAGAGAAGGCCTGAAAGTTGAACTGCATCTACCTCCCAATAGTTTGTGGGTAAGAACACATTAATATTCTGATGATAGAGGTCAGATTGCACATTTTCACTCATAACTAAAGGAGCACTAAGATTGTTGATTTAGGCTACTAAATTTGGCTTATGATTTTGTTGTTTTGTCTTATATGAGGACTTTTTTTTTCCTTGGAATAGCCTGGGAGCTACTTCAGTTAACACAATAAATTGAATCTCTTTTATAATGCTGGAACTCAGATGTCACATGGGTTTCCCATCTACCTTTGTCCTGAGATTTTCTTCCTTAGTAACTACGAGAAGGAGAGCGGAAAAATCGGGACTTTGGCTGAAGCAGAAAGACTCAGGAAAACATGGAGTACAACATGAATGGAATCCTGCTTCCTAGTGACCTCATGCTTGTAAATGCAAGTGGTCCTTTTCCTACAGTAAAGCAGGACTTGATACTACAAGTTGGAGAACACTGTCTCTGTGCTGGAAAGGGGATGTAGTAATAGGATTCCTTTTCCTCAGGTTCAAAATAAGTCAGTGCAGCTCAGATTTGTTATGCTAAAAACTGATGCCAGGGTAGGATGTTTCCACATATTGACCACAGACATCTATAGGAATGGAGCTGAGACAGCAGAAAGCTGTTAGAATGACACAGTGCCTCAGAGATTCCAGGGTTAATCCCACTGGAATGGAAAAACTAGAGCTGTATTATTTGAAAAACAAATGAAAGACAATCCCCAGTTAACTCTATAATTCTGTAAAATCTAAAATAATGAGAGTGGGTTACAGGCTGATTTTAACTGGGAGAGTTGTACTAGAGGTATCAGAGATGTTTTTATTTGAGATGTTAGAAATTGTAGGGTGCCTCCTTAGACTCCCTTCACTTGAAGTTACTCTCTAGTTTTTAATATTACGAAGTTATTCTGACATTTCCACAGATGGAGAATTATGTTTATAGCTGAGGAAAGGGAAATATGGAGAAGTAGAAGAACTTGCATAGGATCACACAGGAAATCAGTGGCCAAACCAGGAGCTGAGGCAGAACTGCTCAAGTCCTTGGCTGGTGTGTTAAAACAATAGCTCATTTCTCATCTTCATGGATGATGAACTTAAAGTTAAGTTCATGCAGGACTAAGAGGAAGACCTCAAATTAGAGAGGTCGGGATTTCTCATTCAGCAGAGTCAATAGTTACTCCTGAATCAGCAAAATTATTCCTTGCCACAGCTATGAAGGGAGGGAGGATCGTGTGCCAGAATCCCAGCAGTGTGGGCAGGGCTTCTTTTAACAGAGAAGACTATATTCATGCTGTAGGAAACATGTTTTGAAGTAATTGGGAAAAAGGAAAGGCAAAGGAGAACTGGTGGGCTGTGGCTGCTAAGTCAGCATTTGGAGAAGGAGAGTGAAAGGCTGCTTTCCTTTGAAATTGTTTGAAGTACACAAAACTTCAGGATACTTGTGAATATAGAAGGAAATTGATGCTTTTGCCTTGGTTATTGGCATTTGGTTATTCCTATTGCCTTGGTTATTGCTATTGCCTTGGCTGCTGGTTATTCCTCAGTTGTGTCACGTGGTGTTTGCTCACTGGGACAATGTGGTGTCTTCTCAAGCCCCAAGTGCAGGGTGTGAGGAATTTTTGTTGTAGTTTGGGTAACTGGTTTTTGTTAAAAGGAGGCAGGCTAGTTTTTAGGCACTGCTTCAGCTTCTCTTTGCTTTCTGATGAAAGAGATTATTTTTTTCCAAAGTACAGACATCTCTATTAAATGGGCTTGTTAGTTAACTTGGAACTTCAGCTGAAGGAGCTGTGCTGTCACAGACAGGATGAGAGGGGCTGTGCTGGGAGTATAAACTTCTTCAGAACAAATTGGGGTTTTAGTGCCTTAAACTTTTTTGTGGCTGAGGCTCCCTCTTAGAATCCACATACGCTTATAGAAGCAGAAAAGCTGTGAAAAGGGAAGGAAACAATCACTCACTCATCCAAAACTTCCTGTTCCATTTCAGGGACTTTCTGCCACGTGGATCTGGCATCGTAACCAGGCGCCCGCTGGTCCTGCAGCTTGTAAACGCCAGCACAGGTACGTGAGCTCCCTTCCCTGCGTGTCCAGCTGGATTGCTGTCTTAGGAAAGGTCTTATTTGACCACTGAAACTGCTCAGTGTGGAGAAAAGAAATAAGAATTTTCCCCGGTAAAAATGACCCACAGCTGTTTTTCCTATTTAACATTAATGATGCATTAAGTGTTCACAAGCAAAATGCTTTGTAGTTTTTGGTTTTTGTTGTTTTAATTTATTAGTCAAGGCTCCATTCATACACATATCACAATTTTCCTTTGCCTGTGCAGCCGTGACTCATGAGAGGGTAAGATCTAAGAGCCAGATGACCCTTCTGATAGTGTACTGCAATAAGGGGGTGAGATAATGTGCTGAAAATCCACTGTGAGAACTCTGGAATCCATAGAAGGCTACAGAAATCTGTGGTTGATCTTTTGAGCAGTTCACTGGTTTTGCCACTTACTTGCAGGACATTTTAATATCTCCCTTAAGTTATGGTAAGATTCCATCCAGGAGATGGCAAGTGAATGTTTCAAGGTACTCATATTCTCCTTGCTAGATCAAGTTCACCTGACAAGAATCTTATCTACAGCAAGGAGATGATTTGACTTTCAGGAGGCTTTTAAATCGGAACAGAGGGTTCTTGGTTTGGTTAACCTGTTCAAGGACTGACACAAGAAAACCAACCACAAGCCAATTCAAAATCATGTCAAGAGAAGATCTGACTTTTTTTTCTCTCAAGACTTTTTGAGTCTGTTCTCAGTACATAGTGAGACTATTACTTACCACCCCAGCACTTTAACCCAGAGCTAGTCCAAGTTCTCCTGAGTACCAGGGTACCTCCCAGTGTAGCTGGGAAGTCATGGCTTCTGCAGGCAGGGACATGAGAAGTTTGGTTGGTATCAACAGGGGAAGTCCTGGATTATTACTTCAGTGAAAGCAAGTGAGGAGACCACCTCTGCTGAAACAGAAGCTGGATTGTGAGGACGTTGGGCTCAAATGAATTATCTCAGATTTCATCCCTTCAACTGTGTTTTGTGTGTTTTGCTTTGGGATGTGATGCTTTCATTACACTTTTGAGCGTTTCTCTGATTTCAGTGACGATTTGACTCTCTGCTTATTTTTAAATAGAATATGGTGAGTTCCTACACTGCAAAGGAAAGAAATTCACTGATTTTGAGGAGGTCCGTTTGGAGATTGAGGCTGAAACGGATCGTGTTACTGGCTCCAACAAAGGGATTTCCCCTGTGCCCATCAATCTCAGAGTCTACTCTCCCCATGGTGAGTCCTAATGCAGTGGAACCAACTCTTTGGGCTTTCTAGTCTGTTATGAACTGAAAAAAATGCAGTGTCATCCCTTCCCTTTCAGTGTAGCATATGTGGAAGCACTTTGAGGGCACAGTTTCCCTGATCAGTGTGAAAAAAAGTGATTTAAAGGGAAAGGTGATGAGATCACTGACAATCACACTAGTAAGAAGTAGCAACTAGTTCTTATTAAGCAGTAACAAAAAGGAACTGGAAAGCTCTGTGTGCTTTCGTGTGTGCATCTCTTATCCCCATTATATATCAGAGACACTAAAGCTATGGGTGGTACTTGAAGACCAGAACATTCCTGTGTTAACACTCCATTATTCTACCTCCTCTTTCCTGTCTAGTCCTGAACCTGACTCTGGTGGATCTGCCGGGTATGACAAAAGTCCCCGTGGGGGATCAGCCCCCTGACATCGAGTTCCAGATCCGAGACATGCTCATGCAGTTTGTCACCAAAGAGAATTGCCTCATCCTGGCAGTGTCCCCAGCCAACTCTGATTTGGCCAATTCTGATGCCCTGAAGATCGCAAAGGAGGTGGATCCTCAAGGTAAATATCTCTTAATTTAGCCTGACATTACTGGGCAGTGGCCTGATTTGTCCTATTGCCTTTTGGTTGTGTTTAGCCCAGTAGCTCCGGGCTCCTTTCTGTTGTCTTGGGATGTATCTTCACCAACAAACATTCTTCTGAGAGGTGTTCGTGAGTGTTACCAGTTGCTGTAATAGAATTTTTGTTACTCCCCTTTTCTTCCTTTGTCTGAGCCTCACTTCTAAAGAGTTGAAGGATTTCCTTTGCTTTAGTTGTCTGATTTTGGCCTGGAGAAAAGTAGGAAAATGTACACTAAAATCCCTCTCTGCTGTGTTGTAGCATTCAGCAGGATATAACTGAGAACTGAGCTCAATTTTTATCTGTTTTGCTCTTGTGGCCTCTCGAATGTGATGGCAACTGTAATGTTCAAGAGCCCTTGAGTAGCCAAGTTGGGCAGTCTGTAAGCTCTGTGAAGAGAGGAAAATATTACATGAGTTGTTTGCTTGAACAAGTGTGTTTGTGTTTTTTCCACAGGCCAACGCACCATTGGGGTCATCACGAAGCTGGATCTTATGGACGAAGGAACTGATGCAAGAGACGTATTAGAAAACAAATTGCTTCCACTCCGTAGAGGTACTTTTCCTCATGCTTTGTCCATGATCTCCTTCCTCTGTTTTCCTTTTGTGAAATGTCCTGGCCTCCTGCTCTTCCTCCAGTGCATCCACTTCCTGTAACATCTGGTACAACTTGTGGTTAAGCCACCTCTGTTCCAAGCTTGAACTGAGAAAAGTTGGGGATCAGGGATCAGTCAGGTTGTTAACAGGAATATTTTGGGTATTTAGACCTTCATATGTAGACCTTTACTTTCTGTTTTCTTCTTTTAATAAGGCAAGCAGCAAAAATGGATCTCCTGATTAAAAGACTCCCCTCCCTGTCATATTAAAAAGATGAAATGATTCTGGGCTATAGTAGCTGCTGTGTATAGCCATGGCAAAGTACCTGTCCTAAGGACTCTCACAGAAGAGTCTGAAATGAATGAGATTGGGGTGTGCTTTGTGTTTGGGGAACAGTAATAAATAAGCTAATTCTCTGTTTCATACTCATTTCTGCCCTGCACACCAACGTGTCAGAACCTGGGCCATCCAGAGGAAATTCTAATTTTAGACTCTTCCAACTGTCCCTAATAATGTGTTACCACCAGAATCCCCCTTTTGCAGTGCTGCCAGCTGGGTAACTTCCTTCTCAGTCCGAGTCTGATTTACATCCTCATCCTTGCAACCATCTGACCTCTGACCCCACTCTTGCAGGTTACATTGGTGTAGTCAACAGAAGTCAGAAGGACATAGATGGCAAGAAGGACATTCAGGCAGCTCTGGCTGCAGAGAGGAAGTTTTTTCTCTCCCACCCAGCCTACAGACACATGGCTGACCGCATGGGAACCCCCTACCTGCAGAAAGTACTGAACCAGGTACTGTCCACAGCTAAGAGCTGCTGCCCATGGTGTCACTGGCTGTGCTGGCCATCAGGGCTCCTCCTAGGTGGAAGAATACAGGAGAAGCTAAAACTTGTGGTCAGCAAACTGATAATAGTGTAAATGGCTTTGCTGCAGTGAGACTTGTGAAAATTGGTGAACTCTTCCTCCTCTGTGTCATAAGAGGTGTTGTGGTGCTAAATCCCATGGAATGTGCCTGACTTCTTTAATACTGATATAGCAAAACACATTGGGGCGCATAATGGAGCCTGCACACCAAAGGCAGGGCAGTGCTTTGTCCTTTCACTGGCACTGGTACAAAATTAGTAGTTGGTTCATGGTATTTACACTATCACAATGCAAGGTCTTTCTGGTTAAGTTAAAAGATACCTTCTAAATTTCAACTGGTCTCTGTACCTAACAGTAAGCTGCAAAGATTGATTTAAATGTGATACTGGTAGTCATTTTCCCATCTCTTGAGGCTGCCTTATCTTCTGTCTTGTACAGTAGCAACTTACTGTTATTTCCCTCTCTGTTCTCATCAAATACTCTCTTAAGTGAAGAATTACTTTGTTGTTTTTTTCCCCTTACTGGAATATCCATTTTTAAACTGGAGTTTTCCACAGCTGTGCTTTGTGGAAACCCCCTTTTTAGAACCTCATCAGTGGTTTTGGCTCCTTCCACCTTGCCTTGTCACCCTGTTGAAAAAGGGCTTTTCCACCACCCTAAGTGTCAGTGGTTCATCTGAAGACCCAATAGCCTTTACCCTTGTGTGAATAGCAAACGCCAGTACTTTTATTGAAGTTTATTCTTTGGTTTGAGTCAGGAGACTTGTGTGATTTGGAGTCTTGTACCAGACTAGAAGGTAAACTGAAAGTCAAGAGTAGAGGTGTGCAATAGGCAGGAGCTGGGGAGGTGGGATACCAGTTATGAGTTGAGGGTATCTGTCCTGGGACAGACTTTGTTAGGACCACTCAGAAGAACTGAACACAGAGAGGAGCATTCCTCTTTATTTTGTGGTGTAGTGGTAGAAAACTCTTCCCAGTAACTACCTAGAGATTTATTGTCTTAAACCTTCTTCTTGTGCAGCAATTGACCAACCACATCCGTGACACCCTGCCAGGGCTGCGGAACAAGCTCCAGAGCCAACTTCTTTCCATTGAGAAGGAGGTGGAGGAGTACAAGAGCTTTCGCCCTGATGACCCTGCTCGCAAGACCAAAGCTCTGCTCCAGTGAGTGGCCTCGGCTGCGTGTCCCTCCCTGGAGAGCACTGCTCAGCCATGGCTTCTACTTCATGCTGTTGGTTTCCTTTCAGGATGGTCCAGCAGTTTGCTGTGGACTTTGAGAAACGCATTGAGGGCTCTGGAGACCAAATTGATACCTATGAGCTGTCAGGAGGAGCGAGGATTAACCGCATCTTCCATGAGCGCTTCCCCTTTGAGCTGGTGAAGGTACTGCTCCCTGTGCTGCTGAGATCCGCTTTGTCTTCTTGCCTGTTACCTCTTCAGTCTGTCTCCTTACTCCTCTTGTTGTCTTTCATCATCTGACTTTCCCTTCAACTACTTTGTTTCGTGGTTTTTCCTTTTATCACCTTTTTAAATTGTTTGTCTGCGTTACTGGGACCTTCCCATAGTACCAACCTTTTCCCTCTGTCCCTGTTCTTGTGACAGAACTTAACTTTCTCTGAGCTAAATGGCATTATTTCTTTGGCTTAGTTCCTAAATGCTAAATTAAGTGTGCAAAATCACTTTAAAACAACCAATAGTAAATCAATGCCTGAATGCCCTTGCAGATATGTTGTGTCAAAGCTTCTGTGACTGAATTTCACATAGTGTGAATGGTGCTGAAACTTGTACTTCCTTGATTCTGAGCATCAGACTAGATCTGAAGTTCCTCTAACAGATATCCAAGAAGTGGAAAAAGAAGTGTTGGTATACCTGGGATTACTTCTGTCAATCCCTTATCAATGGCCTAGAGGTGTAGCAACTGTTCTCCGGTCTTAGCAGTGGAAGAGGATTTTTATTGAATGATGTTTTTTTTGGATGGCAAAGTACACCAACCTGATCAGAAGGGGTTCTGAAAATCTCTTATTTTAATGTCAGTTGTAACAAACTTGAAAGCCAGATCTTTCTACTTTGGGATTTTCTGCATTCTGCTTCCTTTTTTTCACATTTGAATAAGATGAGAACATTTTAATGAAATACAAGAGCCTGCCTTGTATTAGACTTACAATTCACACACAAAAATGTATTATCCATTTGTGGTGTTCACTGAAAAAAAACAGCTGCCAAGATCTTGGGAGGCAAAACAGTTTGTTTTAGAAAGCCATCTAGCACTTGAGTTCTGTTGCTTTATCTCAAAGAAGCTCCTTGAGAGCAGCTGGGGCTTGGCATCTGTAAATGTAGGCCCTTAGCTGTTCCTGTGTCCAAGATGTCCTGCACTGGCAACAGAAGCTTTGTGGCTGGGCTCTGTATGCAACGCTTGGGCTGATATCTTATCTGTCACATGATAGTGCTGGCATGGGACCTCTCCTCTGTAAAGCATCCTGCTGTGTCCTGGGGTTGTGCAACTAAGTGTCAAAAAAAATTCTGATAAAATTCTCTCTTGGTGCAGATGGAGTTTGATGAGAAGGAGCTGCGGCGGGAGATCAGCTACGCCATCAAGAACATCCATGGTATCAGGCACGTATCACACACTAGGCAGACCTTTGGCTACAAAGCCTTGTAAATACCTCTAGACCTTCCAAATGGAGTTGAAGACTTCAGAGGTACGGTAGGTCAGCCAAAGGGGAGGGATAACCTTCTTGGACCATTCCAGTGGCTTGAATCTGGGAGTAGGGACAATCATCCAAGTCAATTTGCTTTCTCTTCCCATGTGAGAGTCACGGAAGCCTAAAAGGTAAAAGCCTGGGTGACCTGACATTTTTTCCATCCTTCTTGGGCCTTGACAAACGAAAGGGTAGAAAGAGGGATGCAAGCCCGTACTAGTCCTTTATTTAGTTAAAACTAAAACATTGATTTTCATGCTAGCCAACAGTTAGTTGTTCAAAATGGGTATTGGTGCTGAGCGCCTCCTCCCCTAGAGATCTGAGGGAACATGGGGTTGCCCATCACCAGGATGCCACTGGCCCCAGGGCATGGTTAGCAAACAGGTTTGTGTTCCCCTTAGTGGTGGTGAGTTGTCAGAAAGCACAGCCCTGAGTGTCCCTGAGTTGTGCAGCTCCTGGGAAGGTGAGGAGGGTCCGATGCCTGTAGGAGCCCTTTGTGCACGCTGGGATGCAAACCAAAAGGTTTAGATTTATTTTCGTTCCTTTCTCTTGCTCAATCACCAACTGAGTTCCATAAAGGGAATCAAACATGTTAATGTCCTAACCATTAAGAAAATCTCCCAGAGAAGGCTTCCCATCTGCTGCACAACCCTGAGGTCAAATACACTGTGGAGGGGCGAGTCCCTGCCACCCATAGGCTTGATGGCTGAGGTGAAATGGTGACCTGGCCATGGCTGTCCAGCTAAGATCCATTCTACCCTCAGCACAGCCTTCCTGGGAAGTGCCAAGCATCTCTCACTTTCCATGGACTGCAGTCAGGGCTTGTCCCAGGGGACGTGACACTCCCCAGTCCCGTGTCCTGGGTTTTAGTGGTGGCTGTGCCTGCTCCAAGACGTGTGTGTAACGCTGTGACATTCTCCTTGCCCCTTCTCCCCCTCCTGCCTTGTCTTGTCCCCACCCTGGGTGTTTAGAACCGGTCTCTTCACACCCGACATGGCCTTTGAGACCATTGTGAAAAAGCAGGTGAAGAAGATTAAAGAGCCTTGCCTGAAATGCGTGGACATGGTCATTTCGGAGTTAATCAATACTGTTAGACAGTGCACCAAGAAGGTAACCAGAGGCAGCATGGAGTTGGCACCTTCCACCCGCTCGCTGGCTGCGGCGCAGCATCGTGACCTGGGCAGGGACTTGCCTGCAGCCACACTTGGTGTTTTAACCACCTCCTCAGCATGACTAGACCTGAGCAGTACCAGCCTGGAGCGATCCAGCCAACAAGCCAAACAGGAAGGGAAATGCCCTGGGACTTGGGCCGTGGCCCTGCTCCCTGAGTCTTTTAGGTCTGAAGGGTGCTGGAGATGTCCTGGCCACCCCTTTGTCTGTAGCATGACTCCTGGTTCCTTCAAAAACTGAAGGTGTTTCTGTATGGCTACGTTTGACTTTAAATTTTATTATCTGGGTTTATTTTCTAAGTGGGAAACTGGGATTTAAATTTTGTCCCCTCTGTTCCTGTGGAAGTGAGAGGGTTAATCCCAGACTAGCCCTTGGGTGCTGTTCAGAGGGTGTATGGGGCTGAAATTTAGAGGCTGCAGCCCTTAGAGCTGTGGGCTGTACCTCAAGGAAATGTTCCTGTGGTGTTTGGCTTGGTTTCTGGCTGGTTTGGTCCATATCCTGTTCTGGAAGAGCAGCACATGGCTGAGAAGAAGCAAGTCAGAAGTGTTCATCAACTTCTGGGCTCCTCCTGCTCTCTTTGAGAGAGTTGGTGCTTCAGTCTTTGCCCTTTGGGATCCATACTCTTATTTGGTAGGGTTGAGGGAGGGAACCTGCCTTGATTCTGCCCTTTGGATGTGTCAGCTCTTGTTCCTGAGGTTGAAAGGCAGCAAGATAAGATGACAAGTGCCATTCTTCTCAGCCATGGCTTGCTCCTTCAGGCAGGGCTGGGTGCTGGTGAAAAGGCACCTCAGTTAGGATGGTGGTGTGGGCACTGGAGACTGGAATCGCCACTGGCTTTTCAGGTGCAGGTAAATGGGCACTGCAGGAGGTGTCTGGAGAGTCTGACACCCTCTGCAAGGGTGGGGACAAGTGCCCAAGTGGTGAGAGAAATGCCTGGTCCTTAGGGCCAAGAGCCTCTGTAGAAGGGCTCAGGCATGCGGGCTCTTGCTTTGCCCCCCAGGCCAGACTGGGGGAGCAAAGTGGATGCAGTGAGAGATTGCTCAGGTTTCTAGAGTGCTGGAGGAGTTTCCTTTTTCTGTCCTGCTGTCCTCTCTTGGGGTGTGTGACTGTGGGGAGCACCCAGAAAGTTGCCATTAGAGCCTGTCGACAGGTAAGCACAGGCCCTCGGGCTGCCAAGTATCCAGAGTCACCTGCTAAGTGGATCAGAAGGGCCCTCCTTTTTCATGCCCTCTGAAGCTTCTCTTGATTTGTTCTCCATCCATCAGTTGCTATTTAAAACCTCCCATTCATTCTTTCACTTTGTATCCTTTCCTCCATTTCCTAATTAGTTTTTCATTGTTTCTTTTTCTTTTCTCTTTTTACTGATAATTTTAGAATAAACCATCTGTTCTGACAGCAGCAGGTTTCTCAAGTGATCAGGTGGTGGGTACAGCAGGGTGGGAAATAAGGGGCGAGAACAGACCACAGGGATGGAGGGGAAATGTCACAGATTCAGGAATAAAGGATTCCATTTTAGTTTGGATCCCACTGCTGAGGTGCTGATGGTTGACTTGCTCTGTGTGCTGTCTAGTAGCCATGGTTACAATTTTGCATCTGAAGAAACAAAATTTTGTCATTCAGGTGATACTCAGGTACTGGAAGAGACTAACTTGTATGTTTCTTCTGTGCAGGGTCTCCCCCAGAAGTCTGGTGGGGGAAACTGGATCTTGAGCTTAGCAGGGCAACTGGGTTAGTAGGAAACCGCTGCTGAGCCAGAGAATGTGAACTGAACTCCAGACAAGCCCTTGCTTTGCTCAAAGGGGGTGTTGTTGGCACCTTGAGAGAGACCTTTGGGTGAAGCCAAATCCTGTAACATTCCAACCCTTTGCTGCTTAAAAGGCAGAGTGCTCGTACATCCCATAATACGTGTTGAAGAGTGTTTTAATCCTGATGTTGCTTGGGGACTTGCAGGTGTTACCCACAGAGATGTGAAAGATGAGGTGAAGGGGTAAAACCTGATTTACATGAGGTGGTGGTTATTTATAGCTATCCCAGGATTTGTTGTTAGCTGCAGGCACCCCAGGTGTGACTGTATTAACTGTACCTTTGGAAAGACAGCATCCCCTTCCCATGCCAAGGAGATGTTGTTCCTTGAAAGCACTGGCAAAGCAGTAATGGTCCATGGTAAAACAAGTAACTCAGATTGTGTAACAAAGAGCATCCTGGTAGAAGCTTTGAAGTGTCAAGTGCTGAAAAGATTTTTTTTGGGTGCTGTAGACTTGAATTGGATTGATCTTGACCATATTTTATTAACTTCAGTTTCTGTGGACTTTCTGCTCTTCCTTAATGGAGCCATTGAGAACACAGGCCACTTAATATCAGTGGAAATTAATAGTTCCTTATAAACCTCCACAGGCCTGTGTTGGGTCTGATGCTACAGGTTTATACATTCTGCTGGGGCTACAGGGTGCTTTGTATAGCTGTGGATGTCCTGGAGCAAGTTTGCATTTTCCTGAATGCTGGGTACATCTGTTCGTACTGAGGAAGCTGATGTTGCAGGGAAGGTGAGTGAGATGAATTGTGCTCCCTCAGTGGGGCAGTTTGCCCAAATCCCTGAAACTGAGAGGCATCAGTTCAGTTCTGCCAAAACAAGATAAAAGTGACAGACCCTTGCAGGTCTTAGTCTGACTCCTGTTCAGGCTTCCTGCACTTGGAATAAGGAAAACTTGAAGGGGAGATAACTGCAGTGGGAAGGAAAGGGAAATAAGATACAGGGATAAAGGGAAATGAGACATGGTGAACCTCTAGGAAGAGAGGCAGTGGCTCACCGTGGCAAGCAGCTTTGTCTTAAAATCCAAAGAAGCTTTTCTTCAAGAAGAGATCACTTGATCCCTGGAGGAGTTCCATCCATTCATCTGGCTCTTGACAGCTCACCATTTCACTGGCCCAGCTGCTCCTACCCCTTTCCCCTTTGCCACTTCCATTTGCCTGTAGACTCTCCTGATACTTGGCAGTGCACAGGCCCCATAGCAATGCTCACCTGGTTCAATAAACTAATGGAATGAACCAAAATCTCACTTCTCATTTTGCCTTGTGTTTTCTCTCTTTTCCCTTCTCCTTCCTTCTTTCTTCCTCCTTCCTGCTCTTTCTCTGCTTTGCTTTCTTCTTCCTCGTTGCTTCCTCCCACCCTTCCCCTGCCATGCAGAACGGGTCTCTTCACGCCTGACCTCGCTTTTGAAGCCATAGTGAAAAAGCAGGTGCAGAAGTTGAAGGAGCCAAGTCTGAAGTGTGTGGATATGGTAGTGAGTGAGCTCACATCCACCATCAGAAAGTGTAGCGAAAAGGTAAAGAAACAAACAAAAAAAAAATCAAAGAAAGGTTAATGCCCCCCCCCGCTTCCCACACACTTCCACGCTGTTTCTCCACACGCAAACACCCACCAGGAACTCCAGCAAAACTAGAGAGAAAGAATGGATATAAAGTTGCATCTAAAGGAGAGCAGCAACCTGCAGGTACAAGAGCAGTTTAAAGGCAGGCCAAGAGAAGTGGGTGACAACTGATGTGCTCTCGAGCTGAGAAGTGAGCTGGGATCCAGTGGAATATTCCAGCATACCCTGTACCTCTCTCTGGCTCAGTGACATTCACCTTAGTGTGGATCAAACCCTTTGCAAGACCTGTTTGCTGTGCCACTGCCTGCACATTTGAAACTTCTTACTTGTTATTTCTGGGACCCCCTTAAATCCAAGTACCCTAGAAAAAGATAAAAAGCCAGAAAAAGACCTCCCATCCCCACAGCATGAGTGGTCTGCAGAGCAAGGTTGAGCAGTAGCATCTACAACAAAACAGCTGATTAAAAGTTTGAGGTGCAAGATGTTCTGCAAGAGGCATTCAGGATCCCAAAAGGCTTTGAGAAAAGCTTTTCCAGGCATTACACCCCCTGCATCATTCTCCTGCTGATCTCTCACTCCATGGACTGTGCTCAGTGAGAAATAGTGTGATGCTTTTCCTTGCGTGCTGTGAACCACAGGAGGTGAAGCCTGAGGGCAGCAGCAGGTGGAGAGTGATAGGGAAGGTGTCAAATACTACTTGGAGGCTGGGGCAGGAGTGGCTTTGCTTCCCAGGCTGGTTCCCTCCAGGAGAGGGCACCACATGCCTCCTTAAAAAAAAAGGCAGATGTGGCAATTGGTGTTAAATTGACCAGTGAGGGGCCGGAAACGTGTCTGTGGCACAGCAGAAGTATGTTCTGGAAACTGAGTTGGAAAGGACTGTTTCATGGGTTGTTTTAGGACTTGAAAATGACAATTTCCTTCTTCCAGGGTTACAGCCAGACTCACCAACATACAGCCCTAAGTTGGGAAGGGAGTTAAGAATTGATATGGGCTCAGAGTGAAGGCAAGAGCTGAGCTAATAAGATCTGGCTCACTTAGAAATGCAGAGCTCATCCCCAGCTCTGTAAGGAGACATCTTTGACATGTCCTGAGCTCTGACCAGTCTATTTGTTGAGGAGCCCTGCTGTTGCCAGATTGTGGGGGCTGATGTGGTGAGACAGAGTAATCCCTTTCCAGCCTGTTTCTCCTGTGGATTTTTTATTTTGATGGGTTTGATTGCTTGCACTGTGTTCTGTATCTGGCTGGTGATGTCTGCTCTGGGTGGGGAGAGAGAAGGATGATGAAAACCCCAAGGGTGTTGAATTCTGCTTTCTCTATTGGACCATGTCATAGAGTGGCTGGATACCCACTTGCTCTGTGGATTTTAATCCATGATATGATGGAGGATCCTGTGAGGATTTTCCAAGGTGATACAACATGGGTAATCCTGTAAGGAAGGTGATAGTAGCAGTGACATAGTAGGAGACTAATGGCTGTAATAAAAGCTGCAGAGGCCAGGGAGGCAGATGTTAGAGATGTAAAATAACCGTCTGAATGAAAATATGTAGCAATAGTACTAGAACATAAAAGGAAGACTTTTAGTGATGCTTAAAGTCAAATGTCTGCATGTAGTGAGAAGGTTAATCTTGCCTGTACCTTCCTCTCAAAGAGTAGAAAGTGACTTTAGGCCACTTTAGGAGAACAGCCGGACTGAGATGGGTTCTAATGGCAGAAGGTGGTAACAGCCCAGGGACATCAGTTAATTTGCAATATTTATTTTGCATGTTATAGCTCTAACTGCTTGACATGGACAAGAGCATGTGCTATTAGGGGGAGCATCTGGAAAAGGCTACTTTAGGACTGATGCTAATTGTAAGGTAATACCCAGCCTGCTGTGTTGTGGACTGATGCTGCCTTTCAGATGAAAAAAACCTTTAAACTCACCAGAAGTCCTGCAAGGCTTCTTGGAAAGGAAGGCTGCTTGGGCTAACACCTCTTAAATTAGCTTAACAGTCCTGTAGCCTTAGTTTGTTGCTGTCCTGAACTGTTGTGTGTTATTGTTCTCTCACAATTATTTCATTTCACCCCAGATGGTGAAGAAATCATTGTACGTGCAGTTGATAAAGCTGTATAGATGGAATAATATGAGACTATCGATAAAGAACACAGAACCCATCTGTGTTCACAGAAGTACACTTTTCCTGTATGACAAGTTGACTATTTCTTGACTCTTAAACAAAGTTGAGGGCTGAAGAAGACAGCCATTAACAGCTGTTCTCTGGCTGGCCTGATCCTGAGCTTCTTCCCATTGTTTAAGTGGAGAGTAGCTCCAAAAGCAACAGAAAGCTGGTGTAAGCATGAAAGCCCTTACATTTAGGAGGATAATGTTTTAGCCAGTGTTTTTCCAAAAGCAGGAACCTTCTGTGCCAGACTGCACTGCAGCATCTCACAAGTGCAGGAAGGTCTTGCAAGTCAGCAGCCCTTCAGCTGAAGGTTGATCTCTGGTGTGCTGGCAAGGACTCCTAGAATCTGCAAAGAGGGGAACTAAGGAACATTGGGACAAATTTGATTTTCAAAGAGAGCTGTAAGCTTGTGTTTTGATTGAACAGGCAAATGCAGCTAAAACCAGGATCGAAACCCCACATGAGCTGGGACACGATCCCAGGCTGACAGACTTTACCCCTCGAGGGGTCGCCTGCTCTCCTGTCTTTCAGAGTCATGGCATTTCTGGGTGCTGTTTGTCCTGCTGGTGATAACTCCTTGCCACTCTATACCCTATTGCATGTTCCCTGGTGGTGTCACATCCTGTGGCTTGTTTATCCTCTTTCCTTGCCCACCCTTGCTGCTCCTGTGCATGCTTGGGGTTGGAAGCTCCTGCATGGGCACTGATGCTGTCAGTTTATTTTTGCACATGAGTGTTGCTGGATGACCTGGGTTCTGAACAAACCACAACTTGTTTTGCACTTTGTGTGCATTTGTACTGGTTGGGACTGGGATGGTGGTGCAGAGGTTTGATGTGTTTTTGTTTGACTGTGGTGTTGTCTTTTTTTTAATTTGAAGCAAAGAAGCTGAGACTTGCTTAAAGGTTTTCCAACTTCCTGTTTTTCTGTTTGACATAACTTGCCCATCTATCCTTCGCCAACCCCCCAAAGGAAACAGGAAGATTTCCCTGTCTGTCTCTGAAGCAACCAGCTGCCTGAACCATAAAGATCATGGAGAACACCCAGTTTGTGCTTTTAAGATGAGGTGGGGGGGGGGAACACTAATTGCTTTTTCCTGCCTCTGTGGCGTTCAAAACAAACCACACATTTAAAAATAGACAGTGTCAAATCTTGTCCAAATTTCAGTTCTGGGCCATTGCAACTTGTTTGACTGCAAGGGAGCTGAAAGAGTTTGAGAGTATTTTTAGTCAGATGTTAGGAATATTGGTGGTGGTTAGTGTGGGATCTGGATTCCAGAAGTGATGCTGCACATTTTGAGGCGGTTCCTCCTAGCGTGTTATAATTACTTATGTATACAAAACAAAAGGGCAAACCAGTTGAAGCAGGTCTCATAAATTGGAAGAACACAACAAATGCAGGTCATAGGCAAATGAGATTTTTGTTTTTTCTTTATGTACCTCCTTGGGGGGGATATAAGAGACTGATAGTGTTTGACATCATAATCAAATTGAAGGTAATATTAAAAATAGGGGAAATTATTTCATAGGGGATGGACAAAGTAGGGAAGAAAGGGCTAGATCCTGGATCTGGAGGATTAATTTAATTTGACTGTGCTGGGCCTGACCTGAGAGGCAAACACTTACTGCTGTGGAAATCACTGGAGGCTTGTGAATCTGGGCAAGAAGGGAGGTGCTGTGTGAAACCCAGAGGGCTTTAAAGCTACTGATTCTAGAGGTGTTGCTCATTTATTATCTCTGTAGATTATATTCTTTTGAACCACAGGTAGTAAAGTCTTTCTGCTTCTCTCTCTGAGCAGGAAAGGATTCCCTCCCCAGTAATGTGGCAACAAGTGTGGTGTAGGTGCAATGTGAACACAGTAATCTTGCTCCAGCACAGGTAGAAACAGCTGGAGACAGACATGTACCCTTGAGCTGCTCAGATCCTCTGTCTGTGTTTGCATGTGTTGGAGTGGGCCAGATGAGGCACTTAGTGCCTCAGCAAATAGGGATTGAAATCCACTTCACTTCCCAGGTAGACTTCCCATAGAATTTAGCAGGTTGTACCAACAGGCCATTCACCTACTTAACCTACTGCAGTGAGTTGCTGAGCATCTAGAGAAATGAGTCACTTTAACAGGAGAAACCCAACAAGCAAGAAGCAGGGCATTTACACCTTGGGTTTGCCCAGAGCCTCGTGCCAGGAACAGTGTGCTGGGTTTTGTGGTGAGGCAGAAAGGTTGCTGCAAGAGTGAAAAGAGCTTTTCTCTGAAGCCCAAAACAAGCAGAAATGAACTTTGACCCCCAACAGACTTCCAGGAACTTGGAAAAATCTGTCTGCAAGTCCAGCTTTCTAGCACTTCCCTCGAGGGTATCTGGTATCGGGGGTGTATGTGTGCATGTGTACATGTGGGGGGCTGCTGCCCCCTTTGTGCCTCCCTTTCCCATGTGCACGTGTTTTCTCTCTCCTGCAGCTCAGCCAATACCCTCATCTGCGTGAGGAGATGGAGAGGATTGTCACCACTCACATCCGGGAGAGAGAAGGCAGGACCAAGGATCAGGTGGGGATCAGGAGTGTGTGGAAGAGGGGAGGTTGGGAGGGGGACACCTTTGGAAGGGACAGTCTGGGTTAGAGGGGCCTGAGCCAGGGGGAGTGTGGCTGCAGAGGGGATGAGATGAACAGTGTGCAGGGCTCTGTCTGCCCCTTGAGCAGGGTCAGTCACTAACTCTTGCTCTGTCTGTGCCTCTGTTTGGCAGGTCATGCTTCTAATAGACATCGAGCTGGCTTACATGAACACAAACCATGAGGATTTCATTGGCTTTGCCAAGTAAGCACCCACCTCCTATTGCTTCCTCTTCTCTGCATGAGTTTCCTGTGGCTGTTCCAGTAAGTGGGCTGCAGAGGCCCTGGTGGAGATGCTGTGGTCCCAAGAATGGGACCAATTGCTTGGTTTTAGTGGCTCTATATTGCAAGGCTGGGGAGGAGAACAAGGATACACAGAAGGGTGAGTTAAAGTATTAGGATTGTGTCAAGGGAAAACAAGCAGCAGCTGTGGAGGTTTAGTGACCCAGGTGTGGTTCATGTGGGAGTGAGAAGATGAGTAGAGCAGATGGCAACAGACTGGCTTATCAAGGCTTGGAAGCCAGTGGTGAGGGGCAGGAACTCACTGTAGCAGCTTCCTAAGGAGAGCAGGATTCAGGTGATCAAGAAGAGTCTGAGAAGTTTTGAATGTCTCTGCTGTTGTTTGCAGTGCTCAGCAGAGGAGCAGCCAGATGAGCAAGAAGAAGGCAGCTGGCAATCAGGTAGGCCAAGTTCATCTCCTTCACTGCTGCCAGGAGGATGTGTTTGCTACCTGGAAGCTGCCAGGTGGACAAGTGCTGGGCTGGATGCAGCAGTGCTCCAAGTTGGATTTTATCTTTTTTTTATGTTGCCTCTTTATTATTTTTTTAACTCATCAAACTCTGTTTATAACTGGAGGATAGTGTTTTAGGCTCCCTGCAGTTGGGAGGAACTGAGCATCTAGCAGCAATAGAGGGAAAGAGTTGTGGAGGGAAATGGTGGCTTGGTAATCCACATCTGGTCTTGCTTTTCTGGTAGAAATTCCTATTAACGTTATGGAAATTCCTGTTTGTTCCTTCACTAACTGTGCTAACCCTTCTGCCAAGTTGAGGGGTACAGAACACTAGGTCTGAACTGTTACAGTACTGGATTGTCCTTTTTAGTTGTCTTTCCCATCAGTGGTATCTACTTTCTGAAAAGGGATTTCGAGAGAGTTCACGGACTCTTTTCCAGAAAATTTCACTGGAAATATGTAAATCTCTGTCCAGGGAGATGAAGGGCGTTGAACACACCCATGGGAGAAGACAGCAGTGGAGGGGAGGAGTTCCCTTAATCCTTCATAAACTGTAAGGAGTGTACATACAGTTAAAGAGAGGCTAATGACACTTTGTCCCAGATTTGCTGGGGACATGGCAAGGCTATCCAGGCTAAAAGATCTTGTAGAAACAAAGCCTTACAAGCAGCTTCATAGAGAATGGAAGCAAATGCTTTTGCTTAGTGTTTTTTAAAGACATTCACTCCTGACATCCACCCTCTTTATAACAAAATATTTGACCACCTTTCCCTTCACATGAACATGCAGACTGTTTCAGTACTGTTGGCAGGCAGGTGGGGCTGGCCAGCCATCCGTTTTGGAGCAGCTCTAGGGAATTCCATCCTCTGCAGTGCACCTGACAGAAGAGCTGAGTGTAAAAGAGAGCAAAGGGCAAACTCTGGATCTACCTGTAAAGCATTTTGGCTTTCTGTTAACAGACTTTATTTTGGGATGTGGGTTGCTTTTGTTAACACCTGGGGTAAAAGATTTGGTACCAGCCTCCAATTTATTTTATTTTTGAGCCTCTCTTCTCCTGCTCGTTTTCCTAGTAACAATCTCTCCTCTCTTTGCTCCTCTCCTGCTCTCTGCTCTGCTGCTGTTGCTATGGTTCCCCTTTGCAGGATGAGATCCTGGTGAGTAGAAGGCCACTCAGCAGGGTGTGCTAATGAACATTAATGTTGCATCTGGGAAGGCAAGAACAGGGCATAAACAGATTATTCCTTCTGCTGCCCAATGGGCAGAGGAGGGCAGCTGACATTAGACACAGACAAAGCAGAGATGAGGTGACAAGGTAGTGTGTTGAGGAAAAACTCAGAACTGCTAGTACATCTTTGAGTGGGTGGAGATGAAAAGCAGCAATCCAAGGATGTGTGATTCTGTTCCACTGCCCCCTCCTGTCCACAGGGAGAGTAGGACTAGCTCGAGCTTAGAAGGCATAAGATGAAGATTCGAGGCTCCTACATTTGCCTTTATAGGGTAAATTGCCAATTTAAAGGATCCTGTACCTCTACATCAGGCTGCTCACACACTGCAACCTGATAATATGCAGTGCAGTCCCGTGGTTTTTCAATGCCAGGTCGTTTTCATCAAGAGTATCTGTACAACAAGGTATACACATAATGCATGCAGATATTTTGGGGTGTGAACAGTGCACTAATACATATAAAAGCTGATGCATTTAAGCTGTGCATACCTGCATTTGATTACTGCATGTGTGAGGTTCTAAACCAGCACTTGGTGAATAGGAGTTATTAGAGAACAATAGCTTGGCTTCTTTACAGATTAAACTTCAAGGAGCTTGATTTGCCCTAGATTAATGTGACTGCTCAAATACCTGGGTATGCTGAAGTCCACAGTATGAATTCCAGATGCACCATTTTGTTCTGTTATCCTTAGTGTCTCCTTTCACTAAACTCAGTTCTTTCTGGGTTGCTTACCCATGTCCCGAAGTGGTTCCCCCCACCTCTGAGTGAAGCACTCCACACCTGCAGTGTGCTGACAGGTGTGCTGGTGTCCTGGTTTTCTCTAGGCATGGCCTTTTCTGGGTGTTTTGCTGTGATTTGGTGCTTGTAGGTTGTGTCAGTGTCTAAGGCACTCTTGATGCAGTTCTTCCTGCATCTCTTTCCTCTTGGCAGAGGGTAAAATGCACAGCACTGCCAGGTTCCTTCCTGCGTCCTTTTTATGCTGTTCCTGGCCCTTTTGAGGCAAGGACCTTCACTGGCCAGTTGAATGGGGGGCTCTTCTGGCAGCAGCAGAGAGCACGGTGTTCCTTGTCTTTCCATACTACTCTGTGTTGGGATACCCTCTGATCTCTCCTCTGTTGCCTGAGGCCAGGAGTTGTTGTCCTTGTTAATGCTCAACTGCTTCCACTCCCTCAGGTGATCAGAAAGGGCTGGCTCACCATCAACAACATTGGGATCATGAAGGGTGGCTCCAAGGAGTATTGGTTTGTCCTGACAGCGGAGAACCTCTCCTGGTACAAGGATGATGAGGTGAGTAGCTCAACTCTGCCAGTTGAGTCTCGGGCGTGGATCAGCCCTTCAGATCACTGGGCATTACAGATGCATCTTCTGAGTGCTGTCTGCAGCTTGTGACACAGGCTGAAACTATCCTTGGGCCAGGCTCCCTGTGGCCTCAGCATTGCTGAGCATTTCTGAATTGATGTGAGTGTGGCTTTTTTGACGCACAAGGAGTAATATTTATGCTTGAAGCTCTGGCTCAGCAGAAAGTTGACAGACACTTGGAATGAATTTGACCTTTATTTGTTTTGCTGTGGCAGCTGTGATCATTAAGGGTGTGATGGGTTAGTTCCAAGATTTGGACTTTTTGGTATTTGTGGGGCAGCACAGTGAGTTTTCTAAAGGCAGATGGCAGAGGATTTTGTGCATCTCCTGGTCACAAGAAAACAGATCTCTCCTTTCTGATCACAGCAATAGGAGCTGTGGACCTGAAGCTGCAGCTCAGGTGCTGGCTCCTTCTGACTTTGAGTAAATTACTTTCTAGGGTTCAACTGCTGAACATGCAAAGCAGGAATGTATTTTTAGTGTTTCTGTATTGAATATGCCAGTTAATGCATTATTTGTAAAATTGTATGGAAATCTTTAGAGTTCTGCTGATCAAAAGTACAGTGATGTGTGGAATATCACTGACAGGAACATGGAGTATCACTGGTAGGAATATGGACCTACTCTGTAGAGTTGCCTGAAAATCTTGAATATTAGGAATTCTGGCATCGTGCTGTGGTGTCTTTCTGCTTCAGTGGGAATTGATATAAGCAGACAGAATTGTCCCAACTGAAATCACTGTCAACAGTGTGTTGCTTCCAGTGCAAGACAAAGGTAGATAATTGTCTTTTTTAGTTACTTTGAAAAGAGAAAGAATAGCTGGATGGTTCTGGTGAGAACACGATCGAAAGGTTTAGTCCCCTCAGTGTGCTGGGGGATGAAAAATGCCTGGTATGATGTAGTCATACGTTCTTAGTTGAGCAGGACTTCAGATTGCAAATAAAGAAACTGCTCTGCCTCTTATTGTGGTTTGTGTCCCTCAGGTATTCCAAGGCACTGTTCCAGTGTCATGCCTGGGAGCTGCAGCCAGGCCTGGCTCCTTGTCTAGCTCCTATCAGTGGGCCTGTTTCTTTCTCGGAAGGTAGAAATGATGACAAATACAGTGATGAATCAGCCTCTAAATATTGCTTTCTGCATGGAGACGGCTGCTGTGCTGCTATGGATGAGCAGGCAGCAATTTCCTAATTAAAGACCCAGGCATTGAAATGTCTTTCCCTAAATCTGTGTGTCTCTGCTAAAAGACCCCCCTGCCCTTTGTGTTCAGAGTTGCTTGGGGAGGCGTCCCTCTCCTCTAGCCTGCATATGCAGGTTGAGTGGTTATAAACATCAAGTAGTTTAATCAAAGCCAGCTGCTACATCTGTATTACAGAGATGATCAAAATTCCCTGTTCTTCCCCCGGGGAGTGGGAGGGAGGGCGGGCTGCAGTGGGGATGTATAAACTGTTGATAGATTCCAGTTGCCTGAGATGGGGATTGGACCTCCCTCTCCTCCTGAGGGAGGGCAGCCTTGGGGGTCAATAGCAACTGGAGGTCTGCACCATTTCCCTTCTGCATAGCAAGAGGTAGAGCTGCCTAATGAAAACAGTTCCCTGCCAGCTTCGGTCCCTTAAACACAGAGAACCAGCACTGATGAGGTCTGAGCTGCCTCTGAGAAAGGAGCCTTTGTTCGCCACTGAGGGGGAGCAGGGGGGAAAGGGAAGTGTGTGTTTTATTTGCTTCCTCCCCAAGTTCAACTCCTTGATCACTGGCTGTTGTGAGCGAGGAAGAAAGCAACGTCCACCTGGAGTTCGTAGTTGAATCGGGTTAAAAGTTGATGCATTTGAGGGGCAGCTTGGAGAGCCTGGAGCATGGGGATTCCCATCCCAAACCTCAGTCCTGCTGGCTCCATCCCCAAGAGTTGCTCACAGTGCACGGTCCCCTCTCAGACAGGGTTATCTTTGCATGTCTGTCCCAGAGCTCTCCTCCTCCACCAGTTGAGGAGAAATTGTGTCCTCTGCAGCTCCTGAAATGTTCTCATGTGTTTTTAGAGGTTCTGCTCCATAGTTATTCTTTGCTTAAGCTCCAGGAGGAAGGGGGAGGCTTTGTCTGCTCCACCCTGCACTTCTGCGGGCTCTCTTGTCCCAGTTTCCCTCTGCTCTGGCTGCTTTCCAGAGGGAATGAGGAGGGAGCCGAATCCGTCTGGTGTGGATGGAAATGCTGGTGGCAGAGCTGTGGATGGTGATGGGGGAAGAGCAGGGTTGAGATGGTGTGTGGTGGGGTGAGGGTGAGGGCTGGGCTAGCACCTCTGGAGCCAGGAGGGTTGGGGGCACAGTCTCTCCCTGCCCTGTTCCACAAGCCAGGACCCGGAGTCTGCGGAATGAAGACATCTGGACCCCATTAGTGAAATACCAGTCTTTCCGCAGCGCTGGCTTGTTTTCCCTTTGCCTCTGAAGAAAGGAACTGAAACTTGAAATGTCTTAAAGGGCCCAGCATCACATGTTAGCAGGGATATATGGCTGTTGATGCTCTGGAGGGGCCTGAAGGAGTGTGGTGAGGAATGGGAGGAGAAAGAAAGAGCAGGCCAGGCGGGGGTGGAAAGTTGGCTCCCCACTCTGCCTCACTGCCAAGAGCATGTGTGTGTGCTCCTGGGCTCTCTGTTTTTCTTCCTGTCTCCTTTCAATGAGTCCAACACTGGCCCCATGGAGAGTGGCCCCACAGAAAGTTGGCCTCCCAAGACCTGGCGACCCTCCTGAGGTACCTGCATCTCCTGAACCCTCTGGGATTGTGCTGCAGGCCAGTGGTGGGAAGAAGAGGTGGGGAGGAGCCTGCTCTGACTCCTGGCAATATAGAGTGAGATTTCCACGCTCAGGGAGGCCACAGTGTCCCAGTGGAGCAGCAGCACAGCACCAGAGCATGCTGACTGCTCAGCAAGCACCATAATGGACACGAGACAGAATTTGATTCAAGAATCAAGAATTTGATTCAAATAGTCCCTTTGCCTGAATCCCTCATGAAATGCACAGTGCCCATGACTCTGCAGGGCTTTCCTGCCTGCTGGAAAAGAGAGTCTGTGAGCTGGGATAGAGCTGCTGGTGATGAGAACCTTGTCCTGTGGTTCCTGTTAGTAAAGCTCACTGTCTGCTGGAGGGGACCTGGCACCCTGTGCTCTGCAGGGGTGACTGTTCCTTCTGGAGTCCCTGTGTGCCCCTGTGTGCTGGAGTGTTTGCACAGCTGGGTAGATGGATGTATCTGCTGCTTCCTTTGGGAATTTGTATGAATGTACAATACAGATGGGACCTTCTGTCCTTACTCAGGTAAATCATGTACTAGAGATTTGGGCCCTGTAAGAACGGGTGACATGTAGTCATGAGAAGAATATGACTTATTTGCTTGTGTGAAAGTATTAATGTGTTGCATGCAATGCCAGTGCATTTGAATCCTCTGTGTGTGTAGGAGGGGTGGATGCAGAGTTTTAGGTACTTTAGGTGCATGACGGGTGCTTCATATTCTCTACGGATCATGTTGATTCCTGATCATCAGTTGTGCTTGAGCGCTTTGTCTTCATGCCTTTCCTTTTGCTTGAAATGTATTCTCTCCTGTCCTGGGAAGATGTGACCTTATTGACAGTCACTAGATAGCTGCTTATTCTGTACCTGTCAGTGTCTCTTAACTCAATTCTAGTTTAAAAATAAACACATTGATCAATACTGAGATTGTTCCCCCCCTGCACACACATGCACTCCCCTCTTCTCTGCCCTCCCCACCCCCAGTCTGTGTCCTTGAAGCTCAGCTCAGCTGGTGGAAATCCTTTTGTCTTTGCCCTGATGCCCACCAGTCATTAGAAACTTGCTGTGATGAGTCTGGCTGCAGCCAGGTTTTTGCATCCAGCTTGTTTTAAAGACCATAGGAGCAGGTCTGCTCTGAGGTGGTTCCTCTCCTGCTTTCACACTGCTCTCAGGTGCTCTCTGGAACATGTTCCTTCTCTTTGTCCTCTGTGGAGCTCTTTCATTCATTCTTTTTTTTTTTTCCACACGTGCGTGTTTTCTCATGTCTATCTTAGTTTTAATCAGTCCTTTCACTCACTGTTTCTCTTCTATCTCTGGCAGACAAACATCAAGGTAAACACAACTTCCAGAGCATCCAGCCTTCAACTTTGAATCCTTTGTGGGTTTTTCTTTGTATTAATGACCAACATTCTTTACACTGTGAAATCTCCTTTCTCCAGTCACCTTTCTGTGCCTGATCCTGCCTTCTCAGGTAGCAAAGCCCAGCGTGGTTGTAACTCTGACAGGCCTGTGTGTCTATTCCTGCATTTTATGGCAGAGTTTAGCGTGTGAAACACAAGCCATCCTGAACAGAGCTACCCCTGGGACAAGCACGTGAAGCTGAAAGAAATAGGAATGGGATGAGAGAGATGGAGAGAAGTAAGGGGTTTGTGAGTAGGCTGGTGAACAGGCAGGTAAAAGTGATGATCAGGCACAGCTCCAAAGGGTTATTCCCTCCCAGGCTGAGGGCTGAGTGACCTCTGCATGCAGCGACCCCACAGCCCACCCTCTCCAAGCATGTCCCTCTGCCGTGCAGGTGTTGCCGTCCCCGTGCAGCACTGGCAGTGTGTGGTGTATCCCAGCACAGCCTAACCAATGTGCAGACTACTGTACAATCTCGTAGTCCTGAACAGGTAGTCTGAACACTGGGCAGACGGAGTGGAGCCTCTGGATCTGCTCTCCGGCTATCAGCAGCTCATTAGTCCTTTCCCCTCCCTGCTTTTGGGATGGGGTTGTGCGGGGCAGAGATGGGGGTGAAAGAAAGTCCAAGTCCTGATTGGAAAAACATCCTCCTCTGGCAGCTGGGGAGAAGAAATGTTGCTTTCTGCATGTTTCCAATTTGGAGCAAGCTTCCAAGCGCCTTCCTCTTCCAGTGCTGGTGTCGGGCTTGTACCTGGCTTCTAC